ACTGCTCACAGTGGCTTCACCTTAGGAGCCAGAGAATCCTGAGTGCTCTCAGAAGCATATTGTGCCCAGGCTGAATGCTTGCATCTGTACTGCGCTGCAAGATGAGGGAAGTTCTGTCAGGTTATGCTCATCCCATCTACTTCCAGTGAGAATCTAAACACTTATTACAAGGTTTGAATAAAGACTATCTGAATTTAGTCTATATTTAACTTATGATAATGACAGCTGCTGTGTTCTGTAACTGTGCACTCTGCCTATGGAGTGCCTTCCTTTCTATCTTTAGGTGCTTGCAGCCTCTGTGTGTACAGAGCAAGCCAAAAGAATGGGGTTGTTCTGCTGTTTATTATAGAAACAGTCTCAGGTTGTTCATAAGATCCCTCACATATGTAAGATAACAATACTACTTTTATGGTTTTATGTCACCTTGGAATGCATATTTCATTTCTGTAGTGTCTGGGAAGCTTTGCCAGGTGAGAATTATTTATAAGAATTATCAACTTTAATTTGATTTTGAGTGTATACATGGTTTTCTCAGATGGGCTGGGAGAACTGATTCATCACTGAACCCAGATATTGAATGCTTGTGACCAGTGAATATAGCGAATCTGGTAACCCTTTACATATTCATTTTCCGGGGAATCACACCTGTATGCATACGGGAACAGACTAGTAGCCAGGTTCTGCCCCAGATTACTGAAGATGGGACATATAGGAATAAGCAGTAGCTGAGTGGGTAGCAGTTGTGTGGGAGACACTTTGTTTTACGTCTCTGACCTAGCTAATGTTTATTTACTTGTACCAAACACGATTACTCTAGTAGGACAGATGGTATAGCCCAACCAATGTGTGGTGTTTGGGACACGTCCTCATGTCCCAGGCAGCGTCACTCTGCCAGTGTCTCCTTTTCCTGAAATGGTACATGAGAAGTTCCTGTTTTTACAAAGCATTATTTTGCAATTACATTCTTCCAGCCCTACCTAGTCACAAATGAATAGTTGTTTTCCTGGTTATCTACACAGCGAAATAGTGACAATGTTTTGGATTACAAGAGCAGCCCTGGCATGTGTCCAGCTCCTCTGCTGAAATATTCTGTCCATACTGTGGGGGTAGTGTGTATTTAGTAAGAGCAGATCTCTTTCCCCTTTTACGGAGTTCAAATTGTTCTTAAAATTCCCACAGAGTGTGTGGGCTGATCACTGCAATAGCTAAACATGGCATTCTTAGGTTCTAATTTGTGCTGCTAATTAATGTAGGTTTGGTGGGGCTCCGCATAGGTCATGTCAGAGGCAGCAGAAGTGCACTGGCACAACTCCTCTGGGAGGAATCCTCCTTTCATCTTTCCAGGTATGCTGGGGGATGCCAGGGGCAAGCTGTCCCTTGAATGGCATGGGCTCCATGCTCACAGTTACACTGTTGGATGGAGCAAGAGACCTGATAAGGAAATGTGTTGGGTAAAAAGTCTGCTGTGCTGACAGAGAAACCTTCCTCTCCTTCCCACCTGCCAGGGTATGCATACTGCCTCTTACCTAGCTTCAAAAATTAGCCTAACCACAATGCAAGATCAAGTTTTCTTCAAATCCCATCCACCTGTACAGACAATGAAAAAGTTGCAAGGATTTCAGGAACTCTTGGCTGCCCTGACAGCAGCCGTGGAACATCCCTAAGGGTGAACGGGATAAACAGACGCAACTGGAGACAGACAGAAGCAGAATGTTGAGGCATATGAACATGGAAACTTGATATATTATAATGTCCAGGACACATGCAAAGTTTCTTTCCATACCCTTCCCCAAGGGCACAAGCTGGGCTGTCCCAAATTGCCCTTGAGGACCCACTAGAAGGCAAAATACAGGTAGCTAGGGAATGCCATCTTAGAGACTCAGCTACAAGGCCTGTGGGGGTAGACCTAGCACAGATTTTCATTTCTGTTAATTGCTTTTCAAAATGGGATGATTAGAACGGCACGTGATATTCATGGTGCAAGTACACTATGGATTTGTGCAGTACCAAAATGGTCTTTTGGTTTTCAACTCCTTTGCTGATGCTCTTTTTTCCCTTTTTAACTGCTGCTAAGTTTTGCAGTGTTATTTTCAGACAACCATGCATAGTAATCCCAGGTCCCTTTTGGAGTAGTGAAATTTGATGCTATCCCTGTATGAATATATTAGTTCTTTCCTCAAACTTAAGAAATATGCATTATTTTGTATCAGCAACACCGGATTCCATTTATCATCTTACCATCCTTTTGCAGCTTCCATTTTAGCTATCCTGAAACATCCAGAGATATAATTTGCACACACTGTCACGTGCATATTCATCCTCTTGTCTGAACCATTCCAGGCCATCTCTGTTAAAACAGTAAGATCCCAGCAAGGACTCCAGTAGAATCACACCGATAATGCTACCATCTATTCCTAATCTCCATTTACCCTTTAAACAACTACTGATGTGCGAGACCTTCTCTCTTACCTCATCACAGCTTCATTTCCTTATAGCCTTTGATGACAAAACTTGTCAAAAGCCTTCTGGAAATTCAATGTGTTATATCACTAGATCATTGATGCACACTCAGTGACCCTTCAGCTAGCTCCAAAAGATTTGTGAGGCACACCACCCAACATTTCATTACGCTTTTCAGTGTATCTGTAACCTATGTTTGTTCCTTTTAGTTTCCTCCTAACTATTCTCCTAATTTTTATGTCCTCTCTTTAAAGGTTTCTTTACACCCACAAACATGCTGAATTTGAGTTCATTATGGAGACAGTTACAAAGTGAAAAACAAGGGTTACACATTGAACTAAATTTTGTTCACTGCTCAGGATTAAATCAAGAACTGTTACTCCACTTGTGGATTCATCTGATTAGGTCCAAACATTTATGGAGCCTAACAATGTAAAAACAATGTGATAATAAATTACATAATTACTAAAATTATAATGATTATTATATTCTGCATTAGCTAACAATATAAAGTATATATCATGTATAATATATTAATGATCATATGTAATATGTCAAATGTCATGCAAATAATCATATAAAGTGAAACCACTGATATTAAGACTAGTTACTAAGATGTGTGTAACTTGTAAACTATATCAGGAATATTTCAAATAGCTGAACCTCATTAATAAGAATATTGAAGGAAATTATGTATAATCCCATCCACCGAATCACAAAAGAATAGATATAATGGATTTATGAGAATCAAAATAAAAGGAATAAACATACATCTTGGCTAAACAAGGGGACCACAGATCTCTAAATTACTTCAGAAGCTGACAAAATACCAAGGAGGAAAAGAAATAGTTTAGATGGTTATAAAAACAAGTAACTGCATTAACTCCAGAAAAGGAAGGAGTACTTTGAATACTAAAAGAACTCCCATTATGTGCCAAAGGGTTATATTCTGTATGAAACATTAGTATCAGCATTCATCTGTGAATCTTAAAATACTTTAAGTAGAGCATGTATTATTTTATTCATAAACTATCATGCTGACAGTTTAATGGTCTTGTCCACGTCACCCAGAAAGCCAATACTACAGTTGGCAATTAATCAAAGATTTTCTGACTCTCAATTCATATCACAACCTCGAGATTGTAGTTTTTCTTGGGCAGAAGCAGGCTGGAGGGTTCAGAGATTCCTTTGAAATGAAGCAGGTATAATAAACTAGGTAAAAAAGAAATTAGGGATCTGAGCTACTTCTGTTTACTTCTGCAGGCCCAACCTGAGCCACCTTTCAATAACCTTATTTCCTTTCATGCAAATGTAGGCCATTTTCAAGTGCTCTCCAGTCAGGCGTGTACATGCTTACTCACCCATAATCACTAGTCACCTTTTTCCACATTTAGCCTGAGAGATACTCCTTATGGCTGGTCTGGGACACTTCACAGTAATTTAATCAAAAGGGAAATTGCTCATACTCCAGTCTAATACTCAATTACTTCCTTTCAAAAACAGTTACAAGTAATTTGCTCTCATCTGTGGGAATGTTTTAGAAATAGATGCCTATTAAACTAACCAGCTTGGACAGCTTCTCATCCACTCCGTCCCTGGAAAGACTTACCTCCAGTTACGCCGCCTCCAAGGGAAGCATCACACAGGTCACTTCTAGAAGTTCTGCTTCAAAGAGAGAATCCCTGAAGTGAACCATTGGCAAATTAGCAAAACAGCATTTGCCAGGTCTGCGGCACGGCTTGCAAAAGAATTGCTTATGGTGATACAGACTCAAAAATAGAGGGTACTGGCAACATGAAGGGAAATTACATATGAGAAAGTCTATACAGAAATCTAGTGTAGGATGTACCCATGGTAAGCAGGGCAGGTAAGTACCATGAAGACAATTCCAGTCAGTGGCATTATGCCACTTTTTGCAGCTGCAGATCTGCTCCGACGCATCTGTCCTCTTGCAGTGAAAGCATATCACTCGGCCATCTCTGTTCCCAAGTTCACATTCACTCCAGTAACCCTGCTTTCCAAGTCTTTTAGACTTTATTAGTAATACAGTCGGGACCTACTCTGCATCCCTGTTCCTCCAGAAGTTATACTACCTTCTCTCTGTTTTCAGTGAATGGACATACATGTCCAAGGTAACCTGCGGTGTTTTGAAGGCTGTTTTACAACCAGTCCTTGTAAGGAATCTAGCTTAGGAGATGCATTCCCCAGAGATATCCTCAAGAAGGAAATTCAGCACCTGATCTACAGCCCCTGCATCACCATTTAGAGAAGTCTATTTCTCTCCACTGACTACAGAGGCCCCTAAGGACATTAACCATCATCTCAACTAGACACGTAAATATATCATGGTGCCTAACATGTAAAAAGAACTGCAGGTAATAGTAACAGAATTAAAATCATAGAATCATAGAATGTCCTGAGTTGGAAGGGACCCACAAGGATCATCGAGTCCAACAAGCAGTTATAAAAAAAGTTATATATATTTTATATATACAAAAGCAAGTTATACAACACAAGCAAAAAACAGACAGTGAACTTACTCTGAAAACTTTTTCCACCCTTGCAATACCCTTCCCAAAGATGGTTCCAAGTTGGTCTCCAATCCCAGCCAGCAAGAAGCCAAACAGCGGAATCCCAAAGATAGCATACAAGATGCAGAAAACCTTGCCTCCAACAGTGCTTGGGGCAATGTTCCCATACCCTGAGGAGAAAATCAATTGTCAGACTCTCAGAACTTATACATGGCTTTTTAGAAAAAACAACGTGTTTAGAAAAACTGCTGTTCTTGCAGGCATACATTTGTTCCACATGTAATTCCTATTTACAAACTTTCCATGGCATGATGTCATTTCCCAGGTGAGCTACCCCCTGTGATTTAGTTCTTCTTGTAGCCTCAGTTACCCATATTTTCTACAGATTCAGGTCCTAGCTAAAGTTGTTGCTTGATTAATTAATCTAGCTTGACTTATCATGGCACAAAAATCCCTCCATGCTGGCCTGGTGCTTGCACGCTGCTGCTCCTCGGGCTGTGCCAATGACTTCTTGACGGGAATGCGATTCACCTGACAAGGCTCATTTTCAGTGATTAGCTCATAATTTCCTCAGCCCCTCATCACACTGATTAGTTACGTTGTGGCCTCCAAACTGTACCCACACTACATGAATCTGCCCTTGAATTCTTTATTCAGTTCCCCTTTCAATTTGACAATAAAGAGCCTAACATTTGTATTTCATGAGGTTTTTTAATAGCTTTTAACAAGGATGTTTTTAAGCCTTCCCTCTGAAGATCCTACTCTGTTTATATTTAAAAATCATTATTGATGCTGTAATAAAGGTGCATACGTGCCTGCCTTCCGTCCTCTGTTAGGGTATCCTGGGGCTGTTGAAAAGATGACAGATTCTGACCAAGACATAATTATCCAGCTGCGTATCCTGAGTGAAAACTCTTATTTTGGCCCAAGCATGTTTGGGCACATTTGATTTCGATTCCCAGCCTTGTAACTCCAAATAAAATATTGGGAACATCTGATACTGGCAGAAAGGCAGCTCCCCACCTGTCCTATGCAGTAAACTACATATAGTCACCACAGTTTGTTCAGGCACTTCTTCCCTTTCCTCCCCCACTCATGTGAATTCAACCTTAGAAATCTATGATGTAGAGTGTTTTGACTCCAGTAGCTATGGCATTTCTGTTAAAATGTTAATTTTAAAGAGAAAAAACATGAATTGTGGCAGTAATATTTGCACCTTTTTATTAAAGATTAATTACCTTTATTGAAATGTTATAGAGATTTGTATTCTGACTATACATAATTATTTGAATATTAAAAATGATCACACAGTCACAAATCACTGATGAAATAAAGTGGAAACACAGAGCATCCAGAGAGATGGGGATCTAAGAGAGTGTCTGCATCACCTACAGCAATTCCTCCTGGTCCTTGGGAATTAAGGCTGAGCTCCCAGGTCCTAATCCTGTTAGGTTTGTGACAGTGGCACTGGATATATCTCTCTGTTATGTGATGGTGAAAGGACTATGCTGACACACAACACTGCCTCCCCCCACAACCCACAGTCCTTTTCATGGCTGCATCCATGATCGCAGATTTCTCCTAAAAGTCCAAGAAAATCTGGGCTCCACAGGCCAGTAGACTGAGGTTGACCAGGTAGTCTGATAAGTGTCTGCTTAAGAGGAGCCCTAACAGGGCTCTGGTGGATAAAATAAAATAATTTTCATGCCCAGACACAATACATAGACTTTATGCAGCCTATAAAAATCTCATTCATGGAGAATTTAAAGCAAATATGGGCAAAAATCCAAGCTCTTTTCAATAAGTTATTTAAATAGCAGATGTCAATGAATATGCCTACATAAACTATGCCTACATAGTGGCATTTATTTTAATGAGTAATTTAAAAGCTTGTCACTTGGGTCTATTGAGTAAACAAATATTAAGAGAGGGTTTTCTTAGATTTGATTCAGAAACGTTTTCTTTCTCGCTGCCCGCTGGTTTTATGCTACCATTAAAAATACATGGTAATGTAGCTTACTATATAGAGGAACACAGGGAGGAGTACACTCTATACAATCGCTCTTTCACCCTTGCTCTGACAACAAAGAAAAGGCAGAGCCAAAGGCATAGACTCCACTGTTTGTGATGATTACCACAGTACGTCTTGTAACTGCCACAGGATTTTTTTTGTTGTATTACCTGCCTAAAGAACTTGCAGAATTCAGTCAGATTGTCACACTTTAATGAAGGGTTATGCGATTGTCAGATTATTTGTCTATACAGTCACCAATGTGTGCATCACAGTTGTAATATGGAGAAGCACTTCATCCAATATCTAAATCAGAACAATACTCAAAGGCAATGCAAATAAAAAGCAACAATTTGCCAGTGATTTCCAAATAATCAGATCTCTTGACCTCTGAAATACAAGCTTAAAATTATAAAACCACTGTATAATTATCAGCAGATTAACTTCATCAACTATTTTATCAGTTTATCATTTTTTTCCTTCAGACCATCTTCTGAAATCCCAGCTGCTTGAACAATCTTTAAGAGAGGAACTGACTCGCAGAGGAGAGGATAAAAACCTTAGCATATCTGAGGTCAGCATTCAGAGATCAAGAGACTAAAGACACTGGACACAATGTATAGGGGGGACAGATGATAAGTGCCTCAATAATGAACTTACTAAAATTAGTGGTTCAAGAAAAGTAAATGGAGCAGTTCAGTATACCCTTCATCTAATACAGAGAAATGTGTCAATATTTCAAGGCCACGAATTCTAGAATGGAAAAAAAAATGTTGTTTTTTTTTACACATGGTACAATTTGTGGAATTCCTTCCAATTACTAGTATGAAAGTGAGGAAGGATTTTAAAAAGGATGTGATACTTATATGAATATATTTCTAGTTACAAGGAGTAGGGTATAAGAATTACTCATATCAGACTTCAGAGCATAAGCCAAAATGAATCGATGTACTTAGGAAGAAAGTTACCCTTACAGGTAAATTCAGCTGTACTGTTAAAATCCAAATTCCCAACAACCATAGAATAGTTCTTTCATTGGGCACTGGTTCTTGATCTTTTTAGTGAAAATTAAGATCACCTGCATCTAAATCAGAACAGGGTTATAAAGCCTTAGCTACATCAGTGCTACTTGTTTTTAGTTCGGCATTGCTATTCTACCCTAATTGTGTAAACAGCTTCTGATATTTACCCAGAGGCTCAATGCCCTTGACACATAGCAGAGGCATGCCTTCTGAGAATTGAGAGAAATATAGTTCAGACACTTTATTTCTTTGTAATCTACCTTCCTCAAATTTATTTCATTATCCAGGTCTCAGTGTGACTATGTATTTTAAAAGATAAACAGTAAACATACCTATTGTTGTGATGACTGTTCCAGCAAAGAAAAAGGCACTTCCAAGGTCCCAGTGACTGCTGTTGTTAGAGGAATTTCCTATGGGACTGACTCCTGCATTATCAGCATCAATAGCATGCTGCAAAGAAAGAGACAACAAATTAGCCTTAGGCATGCCTTACCATATCCTATGCAAGTCGGTATAGGCTCCAAGGGGAAATTTCTAGGACCATGGGAACAGCTTAGATTTAAACTTTTTAATACCTGCTCAAAGTATAGTAGCATCCTCTGTACATGAGAGCTGAATATATGACTAAACTAGATAGCAGTTAAGGTGGAAGAAAGACACAATGCATAGACAAATGACAAAAGACACAAAGCAATTGAGAAGTAGAGGACCGACACCACAGAGATCCATAACTATCGTTGTTGTAGCAATAACTGCCAAAGGAAAAATTCCCCAATGGGAACAGCTGATGTTAGAAGCAGCAAGAAGGGTGATAAATACAAGTAATGTTCATGAAGTCAACTGAAGCTAGTCAGCCAAGGACTTTAATTCCCAGACAATTAATAATTGATTGTTATTTATATTTTATGCTAACTAAAGAAAAAATAGGATATATATATCCCATCTGACATGAACAAATAGGACAGCTATGGAAACATCATGAAACAACTTTGTGATCAGCTAGAACTTCCCAGTTGCCACACTGGACACGATCGCATGTCCACAAATATAGCACGGTACAGAGACTCCCAGCTAGAACTTGAATGAACTTAATTCAGAACAGAAGCTGAGGTAGCTATACTGCTTCCAGCTCACGGTCCTATGTTTCACACAGCACTGAATCAAACCAGGCAGACATATCAGCCTGCTGAATGTTTGCTTGGGAATTTCTAAAAATGCACCATATTGTATCATGGGGACATATGCATTTGCCTTCCATTGCAGCTTCACAGTCCAAGGGAATATTGAGCTAAACACATCAGCCTCTGTCCTTGTTTTGGTTGGGGTAGAGTTAATTTTCTTCATAGTAGCTAGTATGGGGCTATGTTTTGGATTTGTGCTGGAAACAGCGTTGATAACACAGGGATGGTTTAGTTACTGCTGAGCAGTGCTTACACAGAGTCAAGGCCTTTTCTGCCTCTCACCCCACCCCACCAGCGAGCAGGCTGGGGGGGCACAAGAAGCTGGGAGGGGACACAGCTGGGACAGCTGACCCCACCAAAGCGATGCTGAGCAGTGCTTACACAGAGTCAAGGCCTTTTCTGCCTCTCACCCCACCCCACCAGCGAGCAGGCTGGGGGGGCACAAGAAGCTGGGAGGGGACACAGCTGGGACAGCTGACCCCAACTGACCAAAGGGCTATTCCATACCGTATGACGTCATGCTCAGCATATAGAGCTGGGGGAAGAAGAAGGAAGGAGGGGACGTTTGGAGTGATGGCATTTTGTCTTCCAAAGTAACCATTATGCATGGTGGAGCCCTGCTTTGCTGCAGATGGCTGAACACCTGCTTGCCAATGGGAAGTGAATGAATTCCTTGCTTTGCTTTGCTTGCATGCGCAGCTTTTGCTTTACTTGTTAAGCTGTCTTTATCTCGACCCATGAGTTTTCTCACTTTTTACTCTTCTGATTCTCTCCCCCATCCCACCATGGGGATGTGAGCGAGCAGCTGTGTGGTGCTTAGTTGCCAGCTGGGGTTAAACCACAACAATCTCTCATTGCACCTGGCACATTCAGCTGAATTGCTCTAAGTTCACTTTTGAGATGCCCTTTGGTACATATTCTCTAGTTGCTTGTAGATCTCATGCAATCTATTGCCCATTGTAGAGAAATTCAGACATCACTCTGGAACAGCAGCTAAAATGACTGCCATTCAAAGTAAACCTCTCCTTCCCAAATGTTCCCAACTGAGATTAATTTCCACAAAACCAATGCAAAGGAACCAAGCTTCTCTCTTTCTGCTTCTTACCATTTCCAGCTCTTTGCCTTTCTCCTGTTCCAACCTCACTTCATGTTGCTATTATCATGCTGCTACTGCCAGATCTTCCCCTTCTCTCTCACTCTGATATTTGCACCTCCTTGTATATGTTGCCACCAGCCTTTAGCCTTGGTTATTTCAGTGAGCTTATTGCTGGGCTCAACAGGAGAGGCAATGTGCTGCCTCTACAGCCTCTCTTTCTTTGACTTTGTTCAACACAGAATTCCCACCTATCAATACAAGTTTGTTTTGACTTTCTTATTCCATTTCTTTTAACCACTTCTCTTTGCCCTCTGACTTATGATCTATGAATTGTCACTGTGATTTTTTATTTCGCCTTTTTCTATGCAGTCCGTGTGCAAAGCAAGGTTAACCATTCTATTTTACCATTGCCCCACTTCTCATCTGTTCCTGTCTATGATTTCTCTCCTGATCTTCTCTATAACCTCATATTCTCTTGTGCTTTTAGCACTGACTTTTAAATACATCCATTTAATGCCTCTTCTATCCCTAGCTTTCATGATACACTTTTCTCCTCATTCACCTCTTCCCTCTGATGGCTCATTTATCACATTTTTTTTCTTTTCTTCCCCTTCCATGCTGCACTTTTCCTCACTCACTTTTTGCCTATATTTCCAACTGACTTCATCGTCGCAAATGTTCCTCTACCATCTTTTTTTCCTCTACCATCTTTTTTTCCTTGGGCTAGTTTCAGCTCTGCTCCCGAGTTTTTAGTTATTCATCCCATTGCCCCACAAAAAGGGAAAGGAGTGGGAGAAGGGGTGCATGGACAAGAACAGAGGCCAGGCATATCTAAAGAGATCAGTACGGGACAGCCTATTTTAACAGTATAGCTGCTACATGCCAGGCTAAGCCGATTGCAAAATTACAGCATGAGCAAGCTCCAGACTGAACTGGTTGCATTTCATGTGGGCAGAAAGCCAGGGTTCCTCAGCACCTCTCCATACCTCAAGAAACAGGGATATAGAGAAAGGAAGTGTTTAGGACCAAACCCTTTGAAAGGGCTTCTGTACCAGTTGCTGGCATATTGCAGGTGGTGTGAAAGCAGAGATCATTTGTTTGTTTACCCAGAAGAGCATAAATCAGCATAACAGACAGGTTGCCTGTTTAAATAGGCCATGACACACTGTCACCTACCCTGGCATGTTACTTCTGCCAAGGAATG